ATGCCATTGAAAAAGTAATTTTTTTTTTCTATCGTTAATTTTAAATTTCTAATTTATGTCACTAAAAAATATTCTACTAAGTTGGATTATTTTTCATATTTTATAGATTATCTTTTATATTTTGTTGAATTATCTTTTTGTAAGTTATTTTTTATATTTTGATAGGATATTTTTCATATCTTTATGTTTATTTCTCAACTTTTTTTTTTTTTTGAATTCTCTCTTTTCTCTTTCTTCTCTTCTCTATGCATGGCCACCAACCTCCAATGAACTTTTGACATCTATGGGCTCATCGGAAAGCTCTCGATGAGCTGAGTCTGGAACCGTGCCTTGTAGCTGCCAGTTCTGGAGGAGGCTACACTTGCAGGCAGAAATTACAAAACACTTAAAATTTCAGATCTTTATATCTATCGTCTGACCTTTAATTGAGGTGATTTCGGTCTCAATGGGCAAGCAAAGTAATAAGACGAAGAGAACCGAACCAGTTTCCCCGACCGAATCTTACTGGAGCACCGTTGTTGAAGTATCGCCCAAATCCCATTGAGCCATCGTTGGATTTTACTTTTCGGTGGGTGATTGTGTGCACCGCCAGCATCAAATGCTTTAGAGGGTGACCACAAGTCAATCTAGTCCTAAAGCCGTGAAAACATAGTTTGCCGAGGAATTGAGGACCTCTGTTGTCACAGTCATCGTAGCACCGTTTTACTAATTTAGCCGTCTGATCATCGTGATTTACGTGTCAATTCAAAGTGAGAGGGAGAGAGACAAAGCGAGGTGAGGAGAGGGAGAAATTTGGAGGAGAGAGTGAGAGAAAGATATGGGTAGAGTGAAAGATAGAGAGAACGAGAAAAGAGGAGAGAGAGAGGCGTGGGAGGAAGAGCAGTTGTCAGAGAGAGAGAGAGAAAAAAAGGAAAAAAATAATTAAAATGGCATTAAATTTTTTTAATGGCATATATAATATGATGGTTTAAAATAATGGTTAATATTGTAATTTACTCTTCTATATGTATGTAAATATAGATATAGAGTATTAGATTATAAATATGTACGTATGTAGGTATATTAAAAGCGACAAAGACAGAAGCTCATAAATGTCTTTTACATAGTATCCAATTTTGGTATTACCATGTGCATTTTGCGCACTTGAAATCTGTTTGATTTATGCAACTTTTTCTTTTTTTGCTGCTGTTAATTTACGCAAGTTGTTCTTTATTATTATTATTTTTTCCCCAAAGAAGTTGTTCTTTATTATTAAGTCACTTTGTCATTATATTATATTTTTTCAAGGCACCACTTGTCATTATATTATTAAACTACTTGTCGATATTTTTTTAGTACGTCGTGTTATATTAAAATATGCGTGTGATACCTCATATTTTTTATAATTTCATGCATGTATCTTGATATTTTACAAAATATTTTTTGATACCAAAAACAGTTTTTTGATATATGACAATGTCAAATTATTACATCTTTTTTTTATTGCATCTTTTAATCTTTGATTTTTATATATTTTCAAATATATCTCCTTAAATACTTTTTTTAAGGTTATTTAAAATATTATTTTTTAATTATCTTATTAAATATATTTATTTTTAAATGTGTCCCTACATAAGCATCTTTTACTCATGATCATAAAAAATTTCAACTTTAATTGTAAAATATTTTGCACAAATTTTTTCTTTAAGTATTTATTTTATCATTTTTTCCATGTCTTTTACTTTATATTCTTCTCCCACTTTTATTTTTATTTCTTTTATCCTTTGTTTTTTCTTCTTTTTTTCAGCAATTTGTATAATGGTTGTTCACTAGTCATTGTTTAAAATCATGACGGAATGGGTTGAATTTTCAAAGGAAGTGGCAAGCTATTTACGTTGGCGGCTTCCCTATTCACAAGAGCAAATCCGATTGCCTCGTGAGTTGACGGTCGGAAGAAGGGGGGCTTGAAATTTGGTGAAATTATTGAAAAGGAAACACTCATAAATTAAATGTTAGTTTGGTGAAATTATTGAAAAGTGGTTATGTTCATATTTCAATACAGTTAAAGCGGGCTTGAAAGCTCCATCTAACTAAAGCATTACACGTTTAGCTAAAAAGTCTAAAGTAGAACAGAATTTGAATACATAATAATATGAAGGGATGATTTCAATTTAGTAACCTATGATAGTGAAATTGTCTTTTAATACCATGTGTTTTTAATAATTATAAATTGATATCTCAATCATGTAAAAAGTTAATTTTTGGTACCTTGAAGCCTTTTTTTAAGACATAAAAATGTTAAATTTGTCCTTTTTAGTAATTTTTAAGTTTAGTTGACTCGAATTTTATTTTTAAGATTTTTAAAGCCATAAAGGTTGTTTGGTTACCGGGATAAGTTTTTTTTTTTTTTTTAAAAAAAAAAACCTTTAATAATAGTAAATTTGGGTAGACAAAATCAAAAAGGGAGTTACTCTGGTAGTCTGTCATATCTGTAGTTTCAATTTTTTATTGTTGGATATGGTCAAAATCACATCAGATTAAAAAAATATGCAGAACAGATAAATTGTAATATAGATCCAACGGCTGAAAAATAAGAGATTACCGATAGTCTATTTTTGTAGGTACTACCAGAGAAAATTCAAATAAAAAATTATTAAAAAGGACAAATTCGATATTTTATGTCCCAAAAAAGGACTTTAGGGTGCTAGAAATCAATTTTTCAAAAGATAGAGGTATTAATTTAAAATTTTAAAAAACATAGGATACTAAAAGATAATTTTACTATAACACATGGTACCAAATTGAAATTATACCTATTGTGAAACATATGAGCTGATTGTGAACCTTTTCTCTACTGGTATGCTCTTCGCCTTGTGCTGTTTGTGTGGTGTATTTGTTTTGTTTGAAGATTTTTTTTGATAGAATGTTTTGTTTGAAGATTGAAACTTCTGGAATATGCTAACTGCTAATTGTTGTTTTAATTCTAGTTAACAAATAATTGTGTATATTGCACGCTACCATTGGAATTGATTTTTTGCCAGAAACAATGTACATTGAAGATCGGAGAGTTTGTTTGCAGCTTTGATGGGTTGCTCGAGGAGATATTTGGTTGGAAGATTCAAACCATGATTCAAATCATGGTTCATAGTTCGTTACAGTATTTTCTCTCATAAAAATATACGTAAATCGAAAATGATTCTAATCACATAATTCTAATCTATGAACCAAATGTCTCCTAAATTTTGTGCCCGGCCCGACACTAGTCTTGTAGGCTTTAGAATCGAATTGGGCCGATCCTCTCTTTTAGAATTGGGTCAGCCCGACAAAAAATGTACAGCTTAAATTTTCACCTCTAATCAAAATCCATGACTAGGTATCAAAACAAAGCATATATGTGTAGACGTACACAAATATTCTTGATGAATTCTAATAGAGGACACCATTAGTATTTTTGAACAGTAAATGAGTAAATATAAATGCAAATTTTTTTACAAAAAACAAAATTATATAGATAATTTTTTTTTTTTTTCGTTTTACCTATTACAGAATTTCCCCAAATAATTTGAGACAAACTTATAGATGCCAACAGATCTATAAGCTCAATACAATTACAGTAAAATGTTATTCTGACAATTTTTTCTTAAGCTACAAGTAAGAGAAAGTGGAAGAGATGAATAACATAAAAACCAAAACAAACAATAAAGTAGAAACAGAGTAAGAAAAAGGGCGTGAGTGGAAAAGAAAATTAGTGTTTGGAAGTCACCTTCAGCCACCTAATACAACATTACTTATTTGTCCATTTTGTTCTTAGGCTCCAAATAAGAGAAAACAGGAAAATAACAAGTAAAAACCACCAAAGATGAAAGACATCAATAAAAACATAATAACTTGCTGCATTACACTTTTAAATAAACTGGAATAATAAAAAATTGTGTTCGTATTTCTACATTTTTGTTATTCCTTTATTTGTCCTTAAACATAATAGATTTTAGTTGCTTACTCATGAAACCAAATTTGATATAGCAACCTACATATAAAGCTACGTTGTAGCCAAGAAAAAGGGGGAAAAAAGAGTCAGAATATATATATATATATATATATATATCAGAAAATACATGTACTAGGCATCTAAAGATAGCTTACGAGCAAATAAAGATAACATGAAAGTTAAATTCAAGAGTACGAAGAAACAAACAAAATTGTGAATTTATGAAAATATAAAAATACTGCCGGTTGCTACCTAAAATTCTAGTTTTCTAGTCATTGTCATGAAGAATACACAAGAAAAAACCATGCAAATAAGATAAGGGAAGGGGTCGGCGGTTATATTCTAAGATCCAGAAGAATCAACATTATTTCAAGAGGCTAATGACAATTTAAGGTGAAAACTGCATTCAACTTTATTAGCAGAAAAACTGATAATTTATTTTTTGTTTTTATTTTGTTTTTATTTTTGCTTAAACTGACAACTGATATACAACAGTCTTAACAACTTTTAACCCCAAATATGTCTATTGCCGAATGGCAAGAATCTTTAATAGCATCAACGCTCCTACTTTGTCTCATAGAGTTCTATACTCTCATCACCCAATATATAAATGGAAAACTTTTCATGACTACTTTGACGTGGAGAAATTTAAAATGGCGGGTTTGAACTTGAAACTTCACATATTCTTAAATATTATCTTATCCATCATCATCATTTGCTCTCCAGCCTCTAAATCATTCTCTACCAAAAGTTTCCTTAAATGTTTCTCTTCTCATCTAAAACACAACTCTGAAAAGGTCCCAATTTTTTCGGAGATAATTCTAACTAAAAACAGCTCATCTTACTCCTCAGTCTTACAATCTTCTATCAGGAACAGAAGATTTTTAAAAACGCCGTCGCGGTTAAAACCCGAAATCATTCTCACCCCGTTCCACGAATCCCACGTCCAAGCAGCAGTAGTTTGCTCCACGCAAAACGATATCCAAATCAGGGTTCGAAGCGGGGGACACGACTACGAAGGCTTATCTTATGTCTCCGATCATTTCTCTCCTTTCATGATCATCGATCTAAACAATTTTCGTTCCATTAAAGTAGACATAGAGAAAGAAGTCGCTTTTGTCCAGGCTGGTGCATCTGTTGGAGAGTTGTACTACAAAATCGCCGAGAAAAGCGGAGTTCATGGATTCCCGGCGGGGTCGTGCCCCACAGTAGGAGTTGGAGGACAATTTAGTGGAGGTGGTTTCGGAACAATATTCAGAAAATATGGTTTAGCAGCGGATAATATTATCGATGCGATAATTGTCAACGTTAAGGGAGAAATTCTTGATAGAAAGTCAATGGGGGAAGATCTTTTTTGGGCCATTAGAGGTGGCGGAGGGTCGAGCTTTGGAGTCATTCTTTCATGGAAAGTCAAGTTGGTTCGCGTTCCTCCAACTGTTAGCATATTTCACATCCAAAAGACACTTGAAGAAGGTGCAACCAAGCTCTTTCATTAATGGCAAAGGACCGCCAATCACATCCATGAAGACCTCTTTCTTCACGCTACGACCGGAGTGGCAAGTACAAACGAAATCAACCGGAAAACCATTAAAGTTTCATTCACGTCGTTGTTTCTCGGAACAGCTCAGAAGCTCGTCTCTTTAATGGAGGAAAGCTTCCCAGAACTAGGCTTGGAAATTAGCAACTGCACAGAGATGAGTTGGATTCAATCTGTTCTTTATTTTGCGGGGTTTTCGACCGATGATCCTCTAGAGGTTCTGCTCAACAGAAATATGACGGCCGGTTTCTTCAAAGCCAAATCAGATTACGTGAAAGAAGCCATTTCAGAAGCTAGTTTAGAAGTTATATGGAAGAGACAGATTGAAGATGAGGGATCGGTTTTGATTTGGACACCTTATGGTGGAAGGATGAGTGAGATTTCGGATAGCGAAATAGCTTTCCCACATAGAAATGGGAATTTGTACGGAATTCAGTACTTAGTTTATTGGAGTGAAGATAACGAAACTGCAAATCATATAGGATGGATGAGAAGGTTTTATAGTTATATGGAAGCCTATGTTTCAAAGTCTCCAAGAGCTGCTTATCTCAACTACAGAGACATTGACATTGGCAAGAATGATATTGGTAATACAAGCTATTCAAAAGCGTCTACTTGGGGGGTCAAGTATTTCGAGCATAATTTTAAGAGACTTGTTAGTGTCAAAACCAAAGTTGATCCTTGCAATTTTTTCAGGAATGAACAAAGCATTCCTGTCATGGAATCTTAATATATATATATATATATATATATGTGTGTGTGTGTGTGTGTGTAGAAAATAATTCAGCTGGAAACAATTTTTTCAAGATGTTATGTTTGTTTGGTTATAAGCAAGTTAATTGTTGTTTGTGGTTTCAATTTTTGTCGTACACTTCATTAGCTATCTATCTGTTTCGGCATATAATAAGTACGGATGTTCTCGTTCTGCCAAATTTTGTCACTCATTACCTTGTTAGTTAAAGCGAGACTCGTGAAATTTGTTTTCCCTATCTTCTTATTTATTTAATGCTTATATAGTGTGTATGTATCTGTATTATAATCCCAAAGGACTGGCCCCGGTTCTCGCCCGCCCCAAATTGTGAGACAAGAAGTCATGAGTTCAAGATAGCAAACATTATTCTTCTAGTATGAACTCATATATGTGAAAGAAATGCATATACTATTATGACTTCATCCGTTTCACCATTCGAATCATAACTTAAACTTTTTATTATAGTGTTTTCTCTCACATAAATCTACTTTTCAGCTCAAATTCTCAATTAGAACAAGCGCCTAAGTATGCTCTAATTCATTCCACAGAATCCGCCAAAAAAAAGAACTAATCAAGAAAGATATAGTGGTAATTGGATATCATCAAAAAATCAAAATCATTTTGAAACAATGCCGTATGCATATAATTAAATAAAATGAACGTAAGTATGATGCCACATACGTATCCTTGCATAAATATGATACATATATATACTGTAAGGTTTGTTTTCTACGGCATGTGTTATAAAAAGTGTTATAACACTTTCAGTAACACTAGTGATTAATAGTTATTTCTAAATTGAACAACAAATAACTAAGCATGCAGAAAATAATGCTGGAAAAATAAAGAACACTAGAAAATAGTATCGCGATTCGGTGCGCACACGCCTAGATAATAAATAATCTACGAAGATCAAAAGATTACAAAATACCGGTCGGTTTTACACACTCCAAGACTCCCTCCTTAACGATGTCACCACTGTGAAGAATCTTTTTAGTGGTCTTATTTAACGGGCACTACTCGTCTTTGAAACTGCAAACAAACTTCCTTCGATTGACAGACTTTCTCCCAAAAGCAATGCGTTCTCCTCTCAAAAACACACTTTTGCACTCTCTTTTTCAAGGGCTCACATACTGAGACTTTTTCTCAAGAAGTTTCTCTCAAAAACTCACACTCATGAGCAGCTTTTTCAGAATGACACACGCCCCCAAAACAAAAGTCCAACCTGTTCTCAAAACGACAACAATCAGCCCCACTGCAACAATCAATCAAAAATACTTTCCATAAACAACCTCCATCCCATATCTGCTAGAATCACAAGACAATCAAATCTCTGAAATTGCCTTCCCAAAAACTGCTTTCCTTCTAAGGAAGAAATCATTCCAAATCTGGCGAAAATAACCAGAAATAGAATCTCCATGAACTGTTTGTACCTGTTTTTTGAATGTTTACAATACATTGCCAACACAAAAAACCCAACATATACCGCCGTGAGCGAGTAAAATGTCTTGCAGAAAAACAATATGCGATAAGAGCTAGCTAATTATTCTTGAGAGGAGCAAACCTGAGTTTGTTGTGAAATAGAACGAGAAAAAAGCATTAATTGATCCCTAATTAAACAAAATCGCTACTGGGGTTAGCTGCAATGGAGGAGGTAATATCATTTTGAGTAAAACGGTTGCTACTAGTTTTATCTTCAAAATCCAAATCGCTGAGATAAGTTGGCTTTGATCTAGCAGTGTCTATTAAATCAATGTCTCCGGCAAGCATTCCGACGACACGTGACATTGGCGGCCGCATCGTTGGCGAGGCTTGAGTGCACAAAAGAGCTACTCTTATCAATCTGACGGCTTCCCTTTCATCAAGATCCGCCAAGGCTGGATCCACCATGAGATCCAAACTTTCGTTATTTTCATGTAAACTCCACGCCTGTGAAAATGCAAGTAGTTTACAGCAGGATTGATTAATAAACTCTCTTGGTTACTTCCTAAAACCTGCAATATGCTTGGTTTTGACGGATATAAGAGTATCTACAATCCAATACCAAATTTTTATGTCAATACAAAATTTGTTGGTTATTATGTAAAAAAAAGCATTCTCCATTAAGGTAAAATTCGATATTATGGCTGAGGTATTTAGAAATAGTGAAAAAAAAAAAAACAAGATTTTTGATATATCAAGTTTTACCCAAATTCTTAAAAAATAGAAAATAAATCGCGCATTTAATCTTAATGAAGGAAATGTATAACTGTCTCTATAAAACAAAACGCTTATATTTTTTAAGATTAAAATACAACATTGTCCCCTTAACTTTAAAGTCATTTTTACTTTACCCTCTTAAATTTTAAAAACTCTCAATTCGCACTTAAACTTTGAATTAATCCCACTTAAACCTTTCTTTTAAAATTTATAGAAAAATGGAGTGTTAAATAAGATCACATGGTTCTTTTCATTCATTTTTAAAGAAAATTATAAAAGACGAGGCTAAGTGAAACTAATTTAAAATTCACATAGCAAATTATATAATTTTTAAAGGGTATAAAGTAAGAAAAACTTTCTACCTCCGCCACTAAAAAGTATGACATGCTATGTTTCGTACCCGTTCAAGGAGATAAATCTTTTCATTGTCCTGGGTATAGAAGTTTGGCCGTCCACTAACAACCTCCAAAGCAACGATACCGAATCCAAAAACATCAGCCTTCTCTGTCAAATGGCCACGCAATGCATATTCTGGAGCCAAATAACCTCTACAACATCACAAAATGTTAATTCAGTTCCATAACCATAAGGTAACTGAGATGTTAAGGCAAGAATTGGTTAAAAAACTTACATTGTCCCTGCAACTCGTGTGCTCATGTGGGTTTTATTGTCATCATAGAGCTTTGCCAATCCAAAATCTGATATTTTGGGACAAAGTTGCTCATCAAGCAAAATATTACTAGCTTTAACGTCTCGATGCACAATCCTTGGTCTGGATTCCTCATGAAGATAAGCAAGTCCTCTTGCTGTTCCCAAGCATATATTGAAGCGGGTCTTCCAGTCCAGGTGCAAGTCATTCTTTCCTGCAGTCGTCAACGTGCGGAGTGATACTTTGTTCTCTGGGATTCAACTTGTAAATGTAAGGTACTCAATAGATTTGTATATACCAAATAGTGCTTGATCAAGACTTTTGTTTTTAAGGTACTCGTAAACTAGGATGCGTCGATTTCCCTCGATGCAGAATCCGTTCAGTTTCACTAGATTGCGATGTTGCACGACAGATATTGTGACAATTTCGGATACAAATTGTTCATTTGCATGATGAGATCCTACTGAAAGTTGCTTAACAGCTACTTCTCTCCCATCAGAAAGCGTACCCTATAAGAGTAATTAGACATTTCAATACAAAGAAAGGAAAGCTAAATGTGAAATAAAGTCATTATGCATACTTGGAGCTATTATTTTCAAGCAGAAAACTATGTTTGATCATCTCGATCGACCTTATAAACACGGCCAAATCCACCCTCTCCTAGCTTATTTGAAGATGCGAAGTCTCCTGTGGCAGCTTGTAGTTCAGAGTAACTAAAAGTATCGGCGTTGTGGCAGCCTATTCCAAGAAGTCCTGCATATTTAAGCCAGAATATAACATATAAAAATACTGAGATTATAACAAGACTAGAATTTTAATTTATTTGAATGCTTTTACCTTCCTCATCCTCATTGTTTGATTTTCGCCAAAAATAAAGTACTGTTAGTACCAACATAAGACCCACAACAACCACAACAGGGACCGTAATACCTATAATCAACCCTGTGTTGTTGTTCTTGTCTCCTTGAATATGTGTTAAATGATCTGAGCAATAAAAAAGTAAAATTTTTCAGTAGAAATAGGAGAAATGAAGCATGTTAAACCATCATAATATAGATACAACTTTGTACAAATATTACCTGAACTAGCATGAAGAGCCGCTATCAAGGGACCGTAGTAACCTTGCCTCGGTATACAGCAGGTTCCCTTACCAGCCCAGAACAAATGGATTTCAAGATAGTTCTCCGTAACGGTAACAGTGAAGTTCTTCACTTTTGCTTTCTCTACCCCACCAGCTTCCTTTGCAATTTCAAAGTCCTTTTGTTCTAGGCGTCCCTGAAAAGAAAATGATGAATAAGTGGTTCAAAAACTGTATGGGAAAATCTTTGCTCTCTGCAGTTGATTATAACTTGTAATGCACGGTACCATAACTTCCTTTTGGTGTAATTTACCATTTATTTACCTGAATATAAATATCAAATACGCGTCTTGCAAGGCCTGACCATGTCTTTGAGTCCCGATTTGGAAAACCAATTTCTGCAAAGTGCAAGGTTATAGTGTAATTTCCATTCACAAGGCCAAGACCATAGTATCTTAGTGATCCTGGGGTCATCCTTGCTGTTTGGAAAAGCACTGGGTTCTCATTGCTGCCAGTAACTTCTGCCTTCGTGCTTTCGAGATCTAGATCACCTCTTTTGTCAGCAAACAAACCCACCTTGCTGACTGCCCACATCTCATTTATTACATAAAACTTGGCCGGCCCAAGAACAAACTCGTCAGCTTCATACACTGTGCCATCATGTCCTTTAAACTGAGGTCCACCACACTTGATTGCGAAGCTTGTATCTGAATTTTTCATTAGAAAAAAGTATTATGATTGATGTTACATGAGAGAACAATGCAATAGTTTTCACTTCAATTCATAAATGAATTTTCACGAATAATTTGTCAAATAAAAAGTAATTTACGGCGGGGGGGATTTCTATTGCATTGAAAGTTTCTTTGAAGACAGTACAGGTCAGAAAGAACTCTGCAAACAAACAACAACAACAGTTACTTCTTCGAAAGGTAAGAGACATTTGTTTAGGGGGGAAAAAAAAAAGAGTTGTCATTTGTAGGAGTCTTCCACTCACGCTCTGCTTGAGTTATCCAATGTGAAGTTGTTAGCCACTAAGTTCCTGCCAAAAAGGGGAAGAAAAAATCTAATTACTATTGCAAAAAACTGAAGCGGTGATAATCATGCAAAAATATGCACACCCCTACACTTTACGGCTCCGTTTGGTTGGACCCTGGAGGGATGGAGAGGAGGAAGGATGGAAAGAGTTGGAAGGACGGAGAAGATAGAAAAAGAGGATTATAAAAATCTTTTATATTGTTTGGTAAAAGAAAGAGAAAGTTAAAAGATGATAGTTATTTGGTTAATTACTATATTATCTATTTATACAATATGTTATTATTATTTTACTATATTGTCCTCTTCCTCTCTTCCTTCCAACCAAATACCGACTTGGTCCTCTCCCTCCACCTCTCTCCTTCCACCCGTCTTACTCCCTCCATCTCTCCCTCCATCCAAACGCATTGTGAGGCATGGAGAAGAATCTTTGAATATTTATAACAAGGAGGTAAAATTTGAAAGAAGACATACAAGTGCGATAGCGAGCCGACCCATCGTGGCAAGCGTCCCGACAGGAAATTGTATGACAAATCTCTGCACATAAAAAAGTGTCCAACCATGAGTAAGTAGATATTATATGGTGCAGAAAAAATAAAAAATAAAAAATCAATCCGTTTATGTACTCTACCGCATGTTCTTTACAGAATAACACCATTGAGGTTTCTGTAAGCAGCTTTATTAGTTAGCAACTAAGGTTCAAGTTTACTAACCAAATAGTGTAATTAAGGTAATTCTAATTCCTAATAGCGAAGTAAACAGTACTTGAACAGAAGCTTGAATTCCTTTCCTTATTCGTCTTCTTCAAACCAGGTCTCTTTTAAATCACATTTCAATGCCATAAGTAAGTAGTCCTGGCCCAAGTATCCAAATAAGCGAAATGGAAGCTATAAAGTTTATATCCTTTTCTATAGGAAAAAAGTACTTCAGTTTAAATACGACATAATCGCTTCTTGGATTCTGTAATATTGTTATGTTCTATGAATATTAAAGCAGTTGACTCGTCATAATATACATACAAGAACTTACATATTATCAAGATTGGGACTCCATTCATCGGGAAGGGATCCAGATAGGCTATTGTTTCCAAGAAATCTGGCCATTTCAGTAGTAGCATAAGGTCAAAACCAAGCCACCCGAAAAGTTAAAAGGACAAGAACAAAAGAAGTGATCAGTTTAATTTGAGGAAGCTCTTAGGTTTCGACATATGAATCTGGTTGAAGAAAAAAAATCTAAGAGATTATAATGAAAGCAGTAATCTTATTTACAAGTATGTCAGATTACTCAGGTTGAACAGCAAACTAGGAATCGTGCCTGTTAACCTATTGAAACTCAAATCCCTGCATATATCCATGAAAAAAAGTTAAACAAGTAACAAATATAATGACGACTGTATTTTTTTTACTAAGCGGTGTGCCCTTGCGACTTGTGTTTATTTCTCTATTAGAACATACAGTGTTTTTAGACGTCGGAGTTCGGTAATAGGAGGTGGTATTGGACCAGAAACCAATGCATTTCTTAGAATTCTGTCGGAAGAAAAGAAAACTAGCAGTAAGTTAAATGGTTAGGAGGATAAATGCATGAGAAAGTATACTATAGAAAATAAGATGATGTACATCTGACATGGAATCAAGGAGTTCTTTACTTACAACTCAGTTAAGTTCTCCCAATTTTGAACAAAATCAAGGGTAGAACTTCCGGTGTATAAATCGCCAATTCGCCTGCATATGAATTAGGAACAAATAAAATTAATATTTGGTCTTGTTCCTACAGGGGAACTGGGAAGAGAGATCAATAAGAGAAATTTTCCTATCTCTCTACATACTTACAGGGATTCCAATGAGGTCAACTGAGAAAAACTGGATGGTATGGGACCTTCAAGAGAGTTACCTTGTAAAGTCCTACAAAACATTTGAGACTTGTAAAACTAAGGGGCTGTTTGGTGCATAGGTTCATACACTGGAGCTGATTTAGAACCGGCTTTAATTGATGTTTGGTAGACTAATTTGGTACATCAATTTGGACTGTGGAGCTCCTTTAGAACCGGCCTAAATTGGCAATTTGCGGATTTACTCCCTTATATCCAAGGAATCCTAACCGAAACATCAGTTCCGGTTTACTCTCTCAAACTGATGTTTTCAAGACGTATCCAAGCACAATTCGGATTTTATTCTTTGCTCGAATTTACACTTTAACTACATATTTAAACTCCAGTTCGGATTGCAATATAAACCGTACAGTTCAAATTTTACAAATCCAAAGAAAAAGTTTAAAAACTTTAAAGTTTGAACCAACGTAACAAACAGATCCTAAAATCTCATCACATAAGTTCTGGTCTATATACATGATCAGAGATTTCCTATACTCACAAATTTGTCAACTTTGTCCAGTTGCCAATGAAGTCTGGTATCTTCCCTGAAAGAGGAGTGTCCAAAGCATCCCTGATATTTGACAACATATAAATAGCTAAGACAAGTGCAGCCAAATTAGTCTTTTGGCATATGAAAGTAGTCGAATTGCATTCCTTACAAGACTCGCACTTTTCGAAGATTACCAAATTCGGATGGAATTTCACCGCTTATTCCAGAACTGTCGATGTAACTGCACAAACAAAATTGAGATGAATGTGGTTTTCAAGACATTAGCACAGAATAGCTTACTAGAATGATGCTTAAGGTGAAGTGGATTTGGAGTGAACAAATACTTTTAACCACTCAAGTTTGGAACACCTTTTAGCATCGACATTATTGTATAAAACTTCAAATTGAACCTTAAAAGATATAATTTCAGTTTCATAATTAAGGAGCATCTAATTGCAGAAAGCAATGACATTGGCCTTCCTATTAAAACACACATAAATTGGCCTATTAAATAGTGAAGCCTCTATAGTACACCTTCAATATTAGTTGGCTGCAAGTATATTCAACTCATAGATGTCAAATCCTGGCTAAGATTTTCATACTAGAAACTCTACATCAAAGCTACAATAACTAAGAAAACTTATAAATTGGTAGAGGCACTTTGTAATAATGAAACAGACTTACATTAGCTCAAGGTTGAGCAAGTTACCAAGTTCTGGGGGGAGTGATCCAGATAAATTATTTGATCCCACAGCGCTGAAAAACATATATTAAAGATATATGACTATATGAAAAGCATTTAATTAGGAGTAATCTGTCAAGCAAAAAAAAAAAACAAAAAAAAAAGGAACCAAAGTGATACAATACTCATAATTCAGGGAATAGTGATGATAATGACTCTAAAAAAGTATTTGACTGTACGAAAGCAGTCATTCGCACTGGCAGGGATTACAATGAGTAGTCTTTGATGTTGTTTGCATAGAATGCTAATGGTCAAAAATACTAATTAACCAAAAACTCATCATTAAGTAACATCAAAGTCAAAGCTTACAAGTCAGTAAATACCTAAGTCATAACAATAAGTAATCGTTAAGTAACATCAAAACTATATCACACAACCTAACAAAATTTAAGCAAACTAAATGTGTTGCAGGGTTAAAGTGCGGGAACAGCACTGTGTTTTTTGGCAACACACATTCTAGTCATATTTTGCAAACTAGGTAGTTATACAGCTCTCATGATTTCATAAATCATTGCTCATATATCTTGTAACAAGCTCCCGAAGGCTTTCAAGTTTAGTTTGCATTCGGAACATTTGAAACTTACTACATTTTAATTCAGTGTCATTTCAAATTTTGGGTTAATCTCAGTGGTAGCTTCTGCATTTTGGGGTTTGCCAATTTATCTCCTGAATTTTTAAAATTTCTCGTTTTACTTTTTAAATATTAAATTAGTCTCACTTAATCTCTTTGTTAAATTTTCTGTTAAAAGTGGTTATGAGGTCATTTTATATTTGTCTTTAATAAAAATTCTAACAAAAAAACCATATAATCACACTACTACACTTTTTCCGTCCATTTTTAACAAAAACTTTATCAAATGGGGATAAGTAGGACAAATTCAAAATTCAGGATTAAAAAGAGAATTTTTAAAGTTTGGGCGTCAGATTGGGAATGTAATACCCGAGATTTAATTAAGCCTTAAGCCAATAATAAATAAAGTTAGTAAATTAAATCATGCACCACATTTACCATTTATCGCAAAGTTATTTGTTGGCATTATATTTTATTATTATAGCTATCATATGATTTTATTAAGCTTATAACTTTGCTAATTAAGTTTTTAATGTGCAGTGCAACTAGCTCGATGTGAAAACTCAATGTGCTAAACTTATGAAGCAAAAAATGATATTTATTATGATTATTTAATATGATATTTTACCTCTATTATGATTGATTTAATGATGAATTATTATTATATATTTTATTATATGATTTTATGTAAATGTGTTAAGGAATAGTTGCTATTTTGAGTTTTTGTGGGAGAAGGCTATGTTAGCAAATTGAGTGAACTTTAAACACCTAATTGAAGAAGAAAAATAGAGATTTTAGAGCTGATTTTATGAGGTTATGACAATTGTTAGAGGCTTAGAAAAATCTAGACACTTGTCCTACTATAAGGTCACACTACTTTTGCTTGGTTTCTATCAAGTTTAGACTTCATTTTTGGGTCTATTTCAATAACAACAACAAAAAAAAAAAAACCCTAGAACACCAACCATAGCATTTTCTTCTCTCTTCTCACTCCTTTTCTCACCCAAAACTCATAATCAAACCTAGGTTTTCAAGAAAGAATGACCAAAAAACTCAGCCAGCCCATTTCAACTTGTTTTTCAACCTAGTTCTAAAAAAAAAAAAAAACTATCAAGGTTTTGAGCTTCTATTCACTTGGGAACAAGTTTTTCTTTGAGGTAACTTCTTTCTTAAGTTAGAAACTAAGATTTTAGATATTAAGATGTTAAAATCCTACTTAAGATCTAGATTTTTGATGTGGCTTATCATGCATGTTGGTTGTAGACCCTTAAAAATGAGTTTCTTGAGGTTTTGGTTCAAATATTAGTTTCTAGATGAAATTAATGATTTTAGCTTGATATTATTGATGATTATTTGAAGATAAACTCTTATTAGGATGATGATTCATGTATTTGAGAGTGGGTCTTGAAAATTAAGATCTGCATGCTAGGTATGATGAAATGTTCAACTATAAGTCATCTGTACAGCTTATGTAGATTTTGTTTTCATGCTATATATATTTATGATTTTGACTAATTTTATATTTTTTTATTAAACTATACATCTCAAGTTTTACGAGAGTTTTTGAAACACTCTAAACGGAGTTTTCTACATTTAGTTATGAATTTTATAAGTTTAGCTAAAAAGATGTCATTTTTCTGACGAGATTTTACTTCAATCCAGATTTCGGGCTGTTTTTGGTTAGTTTGAAAAATCTGAAACTTATCACTTATTAGCTCTAAAAATAGGGTTTTTAGTCTACTTTTATTTTCCACTGGTCTCATAATATTTTAAGTTTTGATGAATTGATTATGAATATTTTCGTAACAATGCGCAGTTATGTGTTTTGTTAAATGATTATATGAAGGTGATTTTTGAAAGCTATGTTTTTAAAGGTTAATTAGCACATTGAAGGCTCCCCACAACTAGCTAGTTTGTGCTTGCAAAGTAGTGATCGAAATTCAAGTAAGTAGAGTTAAAGCATTTTCAAAACTGCATCATAAGACCTATTTGACAAAATAACTTGTTCAGAATTGTAATTTATGCAAGTTTATTCTCTTATGAAATTCTTATATGATTATGTTCAAAGATATTCATGATTAATTATTTTGAAAGAGATTATGATATTTGCTTTTATGTTTTTACGTTTTAAGAGATTTTATGGTATGGTATATGGATGAGAGGCTGAGTAAGCAGGGGTGTGAGGAACCGGTGCCCCAAATTAGAGTAACTGTCTCTTTAAGACAACTAGAGAAAAATACTAGTGGGAAGTTACTTGTTGATCACAAGAGAAAGAGATTCTAAAAATCCCGCTTAGTGTTTAAGATAAGAGAATTGGCCAAAATTAGAGAAAGTCATGTATAGAGAGGCTTACTTAGAACTGAAGTTCTGTATCATACCTAAACTAAGAATAAGTATGAAATTTTATGAATAATATTTAACAAAGAGATTTCAGCCACGGAGATTTTAAATACTTACTTTATTTGAAATCTACTTACTCAGTTTTTGCTCATTAATTTTACCTTGTGATGTAGATGATGTTGTTGTTACCGAAGAGTAAAAAGAATAATTTCCAGGATTGGCTGAGTACTCCAAGTCCTACATCTGGCATCATGCTTATATGTACTTCTAAACAATAGATGGGCCCAAAATGCTTTTTTGTTACTATGTCGCTTTTGAATAACGGTTTAATGTCTAAGATTTATGGTTGTAATCATTTTGCGCACTGACTCATTTTGTTCAAAAACATTTACGAAAATTTTGTGATGAAATCAACCACAAGTTTTCGCATCTTAAAAATGACATTTTTTTAAGTATAGAAAGTATGTTTTAAGTAGCACCGCCTCGCTAAATTCGGCCTTAGACCGGTTTAGCATTGGGAGCATTACAGTTTTGGCATCAGAGCCCAGTGTTTTATGTTTCTGAAGACAGTGAAGTACATATAGACAAGTGGTTGGATAAGAAACTCAGCCAATCAGTAATGTTTATGATTTTCAATGTATAGGGGCCCGTTTAGTTCGTTGATTCGAGTTTTTAATTCGAGTTGAGATGTGATTTTATGTGAGAGCTTTTTACTGTAGCAAAAAAATTAGATGTGATTGTTTGTGATAGTTTTTTACTGTAGCAGAACTCGAATTCTAAATTCGAATCAGCGAAATGAACGGGGCCTAGATTAATATCTTTTTGTTTTATATTGCATTTATATGGAAGTAAATTTATTATTATTGGCTTAAACCTAAAGGTTAGAATGAGGTGTTGTAGCATAATGCCTCCTAGAAGATATGCTAGAGATCCCCCGAATGTCGACATAGCTCAAATATTTGCTGAATTAACTGCATTAATTTAGCAACAGGCTGATCAACAGAGACAACAAAATGAGTTTATGAGACAACAAATGCAAATGCAAGCTAAACAGTTTCAGCAACGAACAGAGCAGTTTCATAACATGATGACACAACAAGGAGCCCAACATGCAAATTAGCCTCTACCTCCCCCTTGACAGCAAAGACAAGATAATTTAAAACCTTTTTATGAGCGTTTTAAGAAGCAACGTCCTGATGATTTTCATGGTGGACCCGATCCACTAATTGCTGAAGAGTGGATCAATTCTACAGAAAGTATCTTTGACTACATGGTTATGGAAGATACTCAACGAGTTTCATATGCTATTCAATTGCTAAAGAATAATGCTAGGCATTGGTGGGCATCTCTTAAGTTGACTCTAGCTGCTACCAACCTTACATGGAATGGTTTCAAAGAACTATTTTACAATAAGTACTTAACTGAGCAAGTAAAGAAAAGTAAAGTGGCTGAGTTTGTGGGATTAATACAGGGTACTATGACTGTTGATGACTATGTCACCAAATTTGAAAGACTTTCAAGATTTGTTCCATGGATAGTAGGTAATGACGTGAAAAAGATGAACTTCTTCATTAAGGGTTTGAATGCAGCTATCTATAAGGATGTGAGCATGTCGAGGCCTCAGTCGTTCAGCGAAGCAGTTGAATTGGCTATGATATCTAAGAAGGGTATTAAGAGACAAGAATTGGAGAATAAAGCTGCTTATGCCGCTAAGAATGGCCAATGGAAACCATGAACAACTGCAGCAAAAGGGAAACAAAAGCAAGAGTACTCCAAGTTCTACATCTGGCATCTTGCTTATATTTACTTCCACACAATAGATGGGCCCAAAATGTTTTTTCGTTACTATGTCGTTTTTGAATAACTGTTTAATGTCTAAAATTTGTGGTTGTAATTATTTTGCATATTGACTCATTTTGTTCAAAAACCTTTACAAACAGTTTGTGATGAAATCAACCACAAGTTTCCGCATCTTAAAAATAACATTGTTTTAAGTAGCACAATCTCGCTAAATTCGACCTTAGACCGATTTAACGTTGGGGGCGTTATAGGGAATTATCTTAAAATTCAGAAGCAATAGTAAAAATAATCCTTATTTTTGTTTATATATAATTGAAAGTGAAAAAGTATTTCACTCTTAATACGAGATTGTTTGAGTTAGGGGTTTTTATTGTTAAGATAGATGAATTATTTTAGATCCATCCCCCGAAAGAACTGGACATAATAATTTTACATCATCAACTCAAGTACGAATCAAATAAACTAAATAGATGCATTTAAAATAATCGTATGTTATCCACATCCACACATATATGAATAAAATAAAAATTCACTAATTTCCTTTTCATTTCGTAGGCTTAGCAATCAAAGATTGTAAAGAATCATGTTCTAAATGCTCAATACCAAAGTAGGCTTATAAAGTTGATTATAAATATCAAGGCCTTTTATATAATTACTCGTTACAAATAGAATTTAGACTCTATTCTTTTTCAGATCTCTTCTTTCACTCAGATAATATAATATTTCAAGCCAATGCACAGGAAATGATCCATTTACATTCTATGAAGTAAGTGAAATATAAAATCAAAGTTGATTATTCTCAAATATTAAAAAATTGAAGATCAAAGTTACTACATTTGGATTTCTCTCAGAGAATTATCATTTGGTTTAGGGAGTTTCTCTGGTAAGACCATAAAAATAAACTTCCGTTAGTTTTTTAACGTTTTAACTGTCCTATATGTATTAGATACTGTCTGTTTTACATACTTTTTTAATCTGATGTGATTTTACCTAGATTCAATGCTAAAAAACTTGCACTACCGGTAGAGAGGCTTATCGGAAAAGTTCCTTTTGTTTTATGTAGGGAATTGTGTCTTTTTAGTAGCCAATTTTGCCTAAATCTGACACTATGAGTGATTTGGTGTGATCAGAAAAACACAAAGGTGACTTTGTGTGATTTGAAAAAAGCAGATGATATCGCAACATTATTTATTAAAAACGAAGGGCATAAGATAAAATCGAAACAAACTTTAAATAAATATTGGGGGTGATTTTTTTCCCTAATGCGTCCATGAAGATTTAAAGAATAATTTAGATGAAACCTATCAAATAAAGCTATATGCAGAGGCAACAACTCCTAAATTTGATACTAACTGTTCTTTGTTCTATCCAACCTTACATGGCTTTGATATGTCTTCCATACGTTTTAGGATAAAATATGCACTTAACAAATCAAGAGATTCAAAATTATATCTCAGAAACATACGTTCCCCTATTTAAAAAAAAAAAAAAACAAAGGAATAACATTAAATTAATATTTGCAAACAAAGACTTGATATTAGTGTTTGAGGGTTCAAATCAGACGGTCTGAATCAAAATTTAAATTTTGTAAGAGAAAACATGTATTAGAACTTTTTAAATTTAAATTTTTTTATGAGAGAAAATATTATTTGAACCAAAACCATGCAAACATGCACAAAGTGTCGTGTAACTAGTCTGATAGCTTACAGCATAATTAGATTCTTAAGGCTTCCTAGCTCCTTCGGAATGGTCCCATGAAATGTATTGTGGCCAACATCCCTGAACGGAACCAACAAAACAATGCCCATCAATAATCTACTTGAAATTATGTTGCCTTTGAATCAAAGAATGTTTTATCATTGGCCAATGCATCATGTACAAACTCAAACAACTAAAAAACTTGAGTAATTCACACGTCTTCAAAAGATAATCCTATTCTTCATGATGCTCTTGCAAGACTTTATGGTTTTTAGTTCTCTCCTTCTATTGTCTAAAAGCAAAAGTAAAAACATGCTAAATAGGCTTTTTATATCTGAAAATGCTAACATCATTATTTTTGTCACTCTCTTTGTCACTTTCTACATTCACTGTTTGATACGTGGATTGTATTAATAAGATATATTATTAGTTAAACATAAAATGAGATAATAGAGTCCACGTTTCAAATAGTAAATGCATAAAGTGAGACAAAGAGTCAAAGAAAAAGTGATGCTAGCATTTCTCTTTTTATGTGTAAGATTAATTGCTTTGGTAATAGTCCAATAGAGATTATTTGTGAGTCGCTAATGTTCAGTTGAAATGATCTCTAGCTTGTAAGACAAAACGAGGGAAACGAAGTTGGACAATTTCTTCTTTAAATATACTTACAAATATTGCAGCGCAGTCAAATCTCCAAGGAATGGTGGCAAAGTACCGGTGAAGTAATTTAAGAGGATTTTCCTACATATGTTTGAAGATTCAATTTTAACTCTAAAGCTTAAACAACAATAAAAATGACATGGGGAAAAAAAGCAAAAAATATATATATTTATTTATAGAGGAGTCGATGAATTGAAAATCCATACATGACTGTCAGATATTTCAAAGTTGTAATTTCTTTGGGAATCACCCCTTGCCTGTCCAAAGACTGCACTCTCCTACAAATATTTTACAATGAAATTAAAGGTAAGACATAATAAATTGGCAAAGAGAGTGAGAGATATGACATTGCCAATTTTATTCCTCGATTTTAAATTTGTGTAGAGTACTCTACCCAATCTCATTTTGAGAACTTATAAAGTGAACAATAAGTATGTGGAATTGATTCCAAATATTCAACTCATTCTTGACACAAACATAGAAACTTCTTATGTCATTAAAAAAAAAAAAGGAAAGTTATTTATGTCTTTTTTTCTTTGTTAGGAAATATAAAGTTATTTATATGTGTCTTTTTTTTTTTACTTTGTTAGGAAATATACATGTCTATGTTAGTATTCTATGCACATACGTACCTCTAGTTCATTGCCAAACTAATTTTTCATGCCAAATTCGACAATTGAATACGAAAATCACTCTCTAAAATAGTATTATTTTTCTTGTTACATTTGAAATATGCTATATTTTGTGTCAAATTTGATATATATATATATATATTTGATAATTGATTGCTATTTGCTTGGTGTATTGAAACTTTTTATTTAATTTATTATAGCATTGTCATTTTTAAAATTAAAATTTACCATCACAAGTTCGTGAGCTTATGATTATGACAAAAAAAAGAATGAAAACAAAGATATAGCATTTTAAATAGTGCTATTATTAGAGCATAAAACAAAATAACATAATTTTTTTTTGTGTATTTAATAAAGTATTGACATTGATATTTTGTTTTCGAGATGATTTAATAACTTAAATATAGGAGCTAATCTAATTGGATAAAAAAAAATATGAACTATTAATAATTTTTTATTTTCAACTATTAAATATGTATCGTCTATTCTAAATATATCATAAATTTGCATGGTTGTTAAAAAAAAAAAAAAAGTATATACATACATACATACGAATATATGTGCACAGAAATTAAAACTAGAGAAAAGAAGACATACAGGTGAGTGATGTGGCAAGTCTTATTGTTGTCATAGGTACAGTCACATTTGATGCCTGGGTTGTTATCTTCGTGCTCAATAGCTCTCTCGTCATCGATGGCAGATCCTGAGCACGGCTCTCCGCTGATATTCCACGTGGCGTTTGCTGACAATCGTATCTCCCATTGTTGGAATATTGCATTTAGTGCTCTCACTGCCCTTGTTATAATGCATCACACTATCATCGTTTACATCATCATCTTTATCCTTTAATTAACTACCTCATTCACTTCACCGATTCGAGTTTAGAATTTGAGTTTTGTTACAGTAAAAAGTTATCTGAAACAGTCACATTTAACTTTTTTGCTATAGCAAAAAGTTCTCATATAAAATCACATCTCAACTCGAATCAGCGAAGTAAACGGACTAAAAATTTTTATGCTAAACTCAAAAATATGCCTCTGAACATGAAAGTTTTGGTAAATCTATTCCTTCAATATAAGCTTGAATTTGATCAAAGTTAAACATTAATTAGAGTTGAACGTTAGTAATCATCCCCTTCTCATTCTCTCTCGAAAATTTATGCATTCATATTTCTTCTCACAAATTACAAGATATGTAACCTTCTCTTTTACTAAGTCTAGTAAAAGTTATAAGCACCGAAATGTCAACCTCAGGACTGTGATCCTAAAACTACTTCCCTCGACAAGTCCTCATTGAGGATGGTACCTCACTGAGAACCTCCACCAATGATAAAGAGTAGGGTTTTTGATGCAGCGCATATGGACAGGAGTAGACCAACCGGTTAATCGGTTGTATACTTCCGGTTAACCAGATGATGGACTCCAAATACGACCAGAATTTCAAGAATTGCATTTAAAATTCTGATTTTAAGGTTCCGTTCATTTCACCGATTCGAGTTTAGAATTCAAATTTTATTACAGTAAAAAGCTCTCAGAAAGTCACATTTAACTTTTTTGCTACAATAAAAAAATCTCACACAAAATCACATATCAACTCGAATCAGCGAACTAAACGGGCCCTAAGTTTATTTCTCTATTTTATTGCTTCCCATTTTTAGATAAGCTTAATTCCAAATTTTAGATAGGTTTAATTCTTTTATTTTGATTTCCAATTTAGGTAAGGTTAGTTTCCTTTATTTTAATTCTAAAATCATCTATTTAAGAGTATTAATAGGACTATTATTCTTCAATACAGTTCATTTATTAATTTAATTCAAAGTTTATTCTCAATTTTCAATTATCTCGGTATCTACAGAATCAACGAGTGAATATTGGTTCCTATTCTCCTTGAATTCATGAGCAAATCAATAGGTTTATAGATGTTCTATTTTTGGTATTCTAAATGAATCAACAGATCTATTAATGATATTATAGTTGAATCAACAGATTTAGGCCCCGCTCATTTCGCTGATTCGAGTTTAGAATTCGAGTTTTGCTACAGTAAAAAGCTCTCACAAACAATTACATCTAACTTTTTTGCTACAGTAAAAAGTTCTCACATAAAATCACATCTCAACTCGAATCAACGAACTAAACGGGCCCTAAGAAATTTATCCTTTTTTCCTATTTTTGTTACGCTGGCGCTACATCAGTTGATATCGAAGCCAAAACGTTCCTATACCGATCTCACCAATTTCACCATGTTGCCTCACCGCCATCCGACCGTCCGTGCCACCGCACCTACTGCCTATGATCCCGAAGCTTTCACCCTTCTCAAACAAGAAGTCGAAGCTTTGGAGATTGATTTGCTACGACTCCAAGTCGACACCTTGAGACAGCAAATCGCGGCTCTTCAGTTTATTATTCTGCCATCGGCTGTTGGTGAAGACATCATTGAAGTCAATCCGTTTGCACTGCCACCGACCATTTTCGAAGTTGATTTCGTGGATAATGTCTTTGTTCCTATTTTTGCAGATGAAGGACCAATTTTTGATACTGAAATAGACGATCTAGAAGTTGAATTTGGTCCAATCTTTGACGAAATTGATGACGAACTGGAAGATCAAAAATTAATTTTGAATTGCTAAAAGTGTGGTAACCATCTAATTGTTAAAAGGAGTTGAGTTTCAGGAATTTTATAACTTCAGGGGAATACAATTTGAAAATAATAATAAAATTAATAGATTTTTTTAGGGTAAAAACTATGAGAAATTCAGGGATAAATATACTAATTACTCTATGCAAACTTTAACTCCATTAACAATAAGACTTGATTGCCACTCATTTGTAAAAATTCGTGATTAATTTGCAACGAAAAAAAGCTTCGTGACAAAAGTTCCAAATCACGAAAATTTTATGGGGCACAATACGAACCCCCCTAATAATAATAATAAACTAAATCTAACTTCTAAACTAATAGCTAAAGTTTCTTTAATGATGAATTTTATTTATGCAAGTTTCTTGATGATGAACTTTTTTTTTTATAAGATTAAAACAGGTTGGTTTGAAAAGTGTAGTTTAATTATGTGGTTTTACTTTTTTATTTGAATAGGGAAAAAAATTTGAAATTGTGTTTAGAAGTGTAATGAAAACATTAGCAAACAAAAGACGACATGTGTGTCCATTTATTAATTAAAATAATAAAAATTAAATTTCTTTAACAAATGAAAAAAAAAACGAAAACGTTTAGTTTTTAATTCGAGTTGAGATGTGATTTTATGTGAGAATTTTTTACTATAGTAAAAAAGTTAGATGTGACTATTTCTAAGAGCTTTTTACTATAACAAAACTCAAATTCTAAACTCAAATCGGTAAAATGAACAGAACCTTAAACAAGAAATGATTACAAATTTTAAAAATTTAAAAAAATGGTCATGCAGTAAAAAAAATAAAAAAAATAAAAAAAAAACACATTTTTTGCATAAAAAATGACACGGGGAAAAAGGGACTTTTGGCATCTAAGCATTGCTTTGATGTGTTCAAAATCCAATGAACCCATCAACCAAAGAAAAGCCCAGAATCTACCTCCCTCCTTGATATATCTGATCTAAAAAACTACATTTACCTGGAAAAAAGCGGAGAATTTTATTGAAGTGCTTAAATACAAACGCAGGATCATAATGTTACATACCTTCAGAAGGATCAGTAGTGGCGTTTTGAGCCATGGATTCGCGAGTCAATGATACTGATAAGAAGAAGGCCAAGAAGCAGAGGAGGCTCCACCAAGAAAAACTCATCCTTTTTATTATATAATTATTGTCTTGCCTTTTGAAAACCAGATCAGTTTGAAGAAAAAAAACAAATCAGTACCAGAAAGAGGAAGGGGTTTATCTTTTTTCTTTCTCCTCTCCCTTTCTTTCTTTTTCTTTTCCCTTTATTTTTTATTTTTATTTTTTTTGTGCTTTTCTAATGGAGAGACTTTCTTGGTCAACTTTTACCCTCTCCCAAAATGATAAGGATTTTTACGTAATTGTCTCTAAGCTCACCGTAGTTTAGTAAATATTTCTTAAAATTTTAATTTTGACAATTAAGTTCTAAATTTATAAATTGTTATAAATGCGTCCCATTTTATTAAATTTGTTCAAATTTTTTATTAGATTTAAAAATTAAAAATTAAAAAATTAAAAATTTTGTATTACATTAGAATTGAAATATTAGACTTTTTTGTTAAACACCGTAGTTTAGTAAATATTTCTTAAAATTTTAATTTTGACAATTAAGTTTTAAATTTATAAATTGTTATAAATGCGTCCCATTTTATTAAATTTGTTCAAATTTTTTATTAGATTTAAAGATTAAAAATTAAAAAATTAAAAATTTTGTATTACATTAGAATTAAAATATTAGACTTTTTTGTTAAATGTACTTTTTTAACACTAATTTAACACGATCATAACTAAAATAGGGTATAAGGTTAATGGAGCAACTTCCTAAAATTAAAAATTTGAAAGGTAAGTTGTTAAAATTATACAAGGACAATTATGTAAAATTTCCAAATAATAATATTAACAAATATTTAAGAGGAAAAAGAAATCGCATGTATTGTGTAGAGAAAAGTCCAATAATATCCTTGAATTTTTGTTGCGTACCACGCTTGTCCTTGTATTTTTAACAATCCAAAAAGTATTCTTTATATTTTTATTTATATTTTCAAAACGTTTGAAAATTATTCTTTATATCTTTTAACTAGTTAAATGGTTAAAAATTCCACAAATATTCTTAATAACCGATATCTAAACATCATCTTGAATATTAATTTTTTTAACAAATAATAATAAGCTTAGAGAAAATAGGCTTTTTTTGTAATGAGCCTTCAATATTTTGGCAAATTAGTCCTGCTATGAACTTTGAAATTCATCGAAATGCTGGTCAAATTACAAAAAATAAAAAATAAAAAATTAAGACATCTTGGTGCAAGTTGAATGTAAGGTAGACAATGTAGAATGTGCCAATTTAGGCCCCGTTCATTTTGCTGATTCGAGTTTTATTACAGTAAAAAGCTCTCAAAAACAGTCACATCTAACTTTTTTGATACAATAAAAAGCTCTCACACAACGTCACATCTCAACTTGAATCAGCGAACCAAACAATCATTAGTTTTTATGTTCTTCACTTTTTTGTAATTTTCTTTTTATGAATAAAGCTTGGTGCAAGTTGAATGTAAGGTAGACAATGTAGAATGCGCCAACCTAGTTGGAATGTCTTAAGATGCTTTGATATTTAATTACTCATCTATTGCTCAAAAATAGTAAGTTATAAGAAGGGCTTGCCTTAAAATAAAATTTTTTTATAAAAATGTGGGCTTGTGCACACGAAAAAAAAAAAAATAATAAGAAGAAGAAGAAAAGGATGGCGGAGACTTTTGTCTTTTTCTTTCTTAAATATAATATGGTTGGAACCGTTGGGTTTTAAAGGCTAACATACAAGACGTCAAAGTTGAAACTCCCGATTTGTATTAGTAATTATTAGTCTAAAAGATTTTCTTTTTGACGAGTTGTTTGAACTAATATGATAAAATTCGTGTTCACATTGCCGTGAAGAGTTCGTCCCAGAAAATTCAAAAAAAAAAAAAAAAAAAAAAAAAAAAAAAAGAGATGAATAGAAATAAAAGAACTTCGTCCAAGAAAGAGACATGGTGATTTGTCAACGGTCATACATGACAAACAATATTAAAAAAAAAAAGTATACCTTGTTTAAATTTTAAAGCATAATTTGCCATTTAAAAAAAAAAAAGGAAGCGATAATTTGCCATTCAAAAAAAATCTAAAATTTTAAAGCATATCTTGTTTAAATTTATCATATTTCCCTGAGACAGTCATCTGACCCGCAAACATTAAAACTGTTAAAAATTAATGTGTATTGATAAAATTATTAAAGTTGCAACTTACAACTCATAATATTAATATTATTATTATTTTTTTTTTTAGAGTTGATAAAATATTATTTCTTGAATGCACACACACATATACGATTTATTTATTTTTGAAGAGTTGATTAAAAAATAAAAAAGTGGTTGTCTGAAGCGAGTGGAACCTCGGTGGCATGCTCAGGTGAGGGGCAATCACGATACAAACGGCGGCCACCATTATCGCACCCCCACCACACCTGGTCCCCTACGCCTACGTCATCCCAACCACTTTATTGCCCCACTCGGTCACAGGCCCACGTTACTAGGCCCGGCGATGACAACCTCGAGTTTAAAATTATATAAATATCTAGATCGGTACTTATTTTTCCCATGTGGGATAATCATTAACAATAGACATTGCAACCGTTTGGCGAAAAAAATGTACGTTTCCCACCTGGCGTCCAAAAACGAGATAAGAATAATTACATGTCCCTTTCAACTCTTACAGATAAAACTACACCTTAGTTATCTTTTTACTAATTTTCTGTGCACTTGTTTAAACGTTCAGTAATCGTGTAAGCAAAAATATAAATATAAATATAAATATAAATATAAAAAATTTCTAAATAACCTATATTAATATACGGATCGAGCAAATTAAGGTTACATAACAATTAAGATGTAAATATCTCTATTAAGTTGCATATCATACTAGATAGCAATACAATACAGCAACGAAGAGTTGGAATTATCCAAAAAAAAATATATATATATATTAACAAATTTATCCTCTATCCTAGTATCCTACCCCTTTAAGTCACCAAACTAAGTAAAAATGCCTCTTTCAAAAAAATTTACCCCTTTTATCTTTTATTTAATTGATTCTATTATTAGTTTCTAAAAAGATAGAAATAAAAAAGCTAATGTATGGGGGTTAATAATAAATTGTTGTGCCATTAAAAGAGTAATTATAAAGATTTCTCTTTCTCTTTTGTGACTTGTGAAAATAAACTTGTTGTAGTGAAATATAAAGGGATCTCCCACCTTGTTATGGTTCCACCCTTCGAAACCAACATTCCCAGTGAAACAATCTTCCCTTTTGCCAACTTTTTCCCCCCAAAAAAAAAAAAAAAAAAAAAAAGAAAAGGCCATCGACCCGATGCTTGATAGTAATAATGCAACACTAATGCTAAGTTTGGTAAGTAATGATGACCTTTATTGTATTGCGTTTTGTATGGACTTTCTCCTCCAATCCTTCCTAATTGGGAGAGATTAAGATTTGAATTCTTTGAAAGATTTGTAATCCTTTACCGAATCCATTCTCTCATCTTTTCCTCTAACAAACAACCATAGGTACGAAAATCCTCGTACTGATTACCGCTACTATCCCTCTTTCCACCTTTCCCTCCTATCAAATAAGCTCTCAAGTACATTGCATTTTGATATCAACACTAAGCCTTTAAATTGCACAATGTCTGCTTTCAAAAAAAAAAATGCACAATGTCTAATTGCACATCTATAAATAGCACAATTAAATTTGAAGGGAATGATGCAAAGGTCGTATGGTAAAAAATTCAAAATGGTAAGTGCTCTTGTTTGATTTGCAGTTTGAAACACAATTCAAACGTTTTTTTTTAAAGTGTTTTCGACCACAAAAATTTGAATTTATGTTCAAAGCTACTAATCAAACGGGGCAAAATTCTAAAGGAAGTTGTTTAGAAATATATAAATATATTTTTTAAGGAATGCATTAATACTCACTATCGTCATACTCTTCATCATAGAAGTAACCATCCTCATCATTTCCAAAATCCTTAGTTTCACAGTAGTCTTCAGCAGAATAAGTATCTTAACAACCACCATTTTCAGGGTCAATCGCATTTTCATTATCATCCCCTGAACTGTATACTTCAGAATTTGATTTATCATTGATGAGCTGCATCTCAACATGATGGCCACAATGGTCACCCACATCTTCTCCATTGTCCATTTTATGAACCTCATCCTGTAGGACATTTGAAAGTTCATACAAATTTTAACAATTTAATTGAAAATTCGATAATGCTCTTCTAAATTACAATAACAAAAGTTTCAAGCTTGGAAGTACATAAAGACAGGAGGGATAGAGAGACATACATGGTTTAGCTTATTTAGCATATCATAGTTGATCTTTGAATTCAATCTCTGCAAGAGAAACGCCACTTTAACTTCTAAAGGTATAGACAGACTGTATCAACTGTAAACATAAATAACAACAAAAGAAACTGATACTATGATCATTGTGCACTAAAATCATACTTAACTGACTTGCGAAAGACGAAATTTGAAACAAAGTACAATTTCATAGTTAGCCTTCTTGGGCTAGTTTTTTGGCACATATAGCTGAAGAGTAGGCATGTTCATCTAATTATCACTTCGAGATTTAAAGCCTAGTAGCAATATAATCAAGGAACTTTTTGCCTGTAGTGTACTCAAAACTTAATTATTTACCTTCTCATTATCCATTTTACGCGCAGGTTTGACAACTTCTTTTGTTGGATCATCTTTGGTAGCTTTTCTGGCTCGCTTTTCTTTACTTCCCTGCAAATTTTGACAGTTGAATAAAGACATGACCTGAGAGTCAGTGCTGGTGGTACAAATGGTCAAAGATGAAAAGCTTAGTCAAATACAGTAGATGCAAAATCTAAATGATATTACTCTTTGGGAAACAACTATCATTATAACAAAACAAATTCAGCTTTGCAGAAATACAGAACTAAGGAAGGAAATTCCTAGATAGAAAACAAGTTAAATCGACAGGCACTCTAAAGTTTCTAATCACACACACACACACACAAAAACACAGTCCAAACGCCTGAAAAACAAAATCAACATGGAGCTCAAAAAATTAGTTAAGGATAAATCTAGTTAAGTCAGACCATATATAACACACAAAAGAAAAAAAAAATCTGGTTGGGATGTTAGAGACACAAGCTGTTGTATTGGTTCATTGGAGCAATTAGAGTGTACAGTGATGGACTTTTCAAACTTAACTGATAATTCATCACGTTCTTAAAGTGTTGTGTTTGATAATGGAACTAGACTCTTTCACAAAAGAAAAATAATGGGACACTATACCCAGGTGATTCATAGGATACAATGTTACAAGAGTTACACTCAGAGACGTGGGAAAAGACATGTCTCTCTTATCTTAATATTTCCTTAAAAAATTATATCTCTATACGCTCATATTACCTATTTTTAAATCTTCATATGGAAACCATCATGGTCTTTTGCATGTGGTGGAAGCAAAATTAGATAAGGATTAAGGATAAAAAAACACAATTAAACTCTACATGCTCTTTATTTCCCTAAGAATTGATGGAACATCAAGATTGGCGCTCTATATTCCTTCCTAAATGAACTGAAACCAAGAGAATCCAAAATTTGCAACCAGCTTGCTCTTAAACCAGAGAGTTCCATTAGAACTGTGAGATCAAGAATGAAATTCAAGATCAGAAGGAGGGGGATGAATCACAGTTACTAGTGATGTTTAACGTATAAAATTTTATTCACAAGAAGTTTGACGTTAGGTAAGTGAGTAATTTGGTACCTCAAGCTGAGAAAGAACTAACGAGTTTGAAAATGGGTTGCTAAACTTCTTCCTTGTATTCAATTTGATCAGTCCTTGCAATCAGCAGTCCCACCTCCATAGAGTTTCATTTCACTAGTATAGACCATTCATTCAGTTAATTAATCAAATGAATCGTTTGATATTAAATCTTAAATGATAGAACTTCTTTGACTAACAATTAACCACATATGAAAAAAAGGTGATAACTCTAAGAAATAAACACAGGGATAACATGCTCTGCATCATAAGCTCTCCCTACCCCCAAACTTAAAATCAACATTGCCCTCAATGTTGCAAAAGAGCAAGCAGGGTACCGAACACTCCCAATGTATTTATTATTATTATTTTTTTAATGTACAACACAAAAATTGTCACAACACCACCCTTGTCTCATATACTAACACTGCGCATTGTGTCCTAGAATGATCAACATGCTCATGGGTGAGGGCAGAAAGTTGGACATTTATTGAAAAGGCTAGGCTAAGAAAATATGGCGGGTAACAAAGAAAAGGGTAGAAGTAGGCTCAACGGGTAATACTAGGGATATGATAAATTAAGGTCAGCCAAAAAGCTCAAACGGCCCAAAGATGGCCTAAGGTCCCGTTCATTTCACCGATTCGAGTTTAGAATTCGACTTTTGCTACAGTAAAAAGCTCTCAGAAACAATCATATTTAACTTTTTTGCTACAGTAAAAAGCTCTCACATAAAGTCACATCTCAACTCGAATCAGCGAACTAAACGGGCCCTAAATCATTTCCTTGGTAAAGTGTTAATCTAAGATTTTGCCTCAAGAGTTCATCAAGCAAGTTCTAGAGCTTATAAATTGTTTAGCTGAAAATAAATCACATGCACAAGATCTTGCCCTAGGGATGCACTGAATCAATAACACAAGGTGGAGTGCATAATAGTAAGAAAAGTCACAAGCCGAGAATTAAGCAATCAAAAGAATCAAAAATCAACACTAGGTGAACATCATGTTTTTCTAAAGGCTGCACCTAACCCAAGCAATTTTCATCATAGGTTCAAGAGAATTCACCACAAAGTTGAAAAATAACAAGAAAACCTAGAAAAACAACAAAAGAAGCAAAAAAAATGACAGAAACAGCATATAAACAACGAATTAAAAATACCAAATCAACACTTCAACAAGGAAGACACCCAAATAATTAAAGAGAAATGATAGGGGCAAGAACTTCCCTAAATGGCTAAGAGCACCATCATCCTCACCACTTCCAATTCATTGCACTCCGCAGCGTCATCTGCCTAGAGGAGGGCTCGGGTGCAACAGATTTGCCCTTGTCACGATGGCTCAAAAGGGCAAAAACCTCAGGCTCCTGCTGCTCGAAACGAGGCGGATTGGGAGGAACAGGCGCAGCTTCTTCTTCAATGTTAGGCTCGTCATCATCAGAGGGGGACCCACACAGATGCTGTGGAAACTTCGGAAAGGAATGGAATCTGTTGGAATTGGCTTTGTAATGCTTTTGAAGAGCCAAATCTCTCTGCTTTTCATATTTCCAAAAGTCCCGCATCATTTGCAAGGACTCATATTGCAACACCTCCATCTGACTAAGGCGCTGCTCCATACGGTTTAAGCCTTCTACGAGGTCGGGGTGAGGTGGCACGGCGTTGGGAGCCCCTTGAGCAGGCACTTTAGCTGCAGGGGCTGCAGCTTCTTCTTCACCAGTGCGGAGATCATTGTGTAAGAGCCTCGTGATTACAACTGGTGTAATGGCTGCGGTGGGCTGTTGTTTGGGTTCGCATTCTTCGATGACAACACCTTGTGTGGTGCATAACTGCATAATGAGCGAAGGAAACCACAGCCCCCCGCTATTCCTTCCCGTGCAAACACCAATCTATTACTGAATCATCTTGCCAATGTTTAGGGTCGTGCCCACAACAATACAATATAAGAGGATTGCCCTCTCCTTGTGTACCACGTGATCATGTGATGAAGGCATGAGCCGGAACTTCAAGAAATGATACCAAATTTTAGGCCCCGGCTTGAGGAGCCCCCGATGAAAGGTCATTGATCCCCGACTTGCTCTTGTCCATTCAGTCCCCTCCTCGCACAGCGTGCGAAGGACTTCTTCAAGTTGCTCATCATCCAAATTCTCAACAAATTCTGTGAAGTGATCTTCAACGTCCGGCAAGTTGTAAACTCTATTAATTGCCTCGGACGTGATGGGGACCCTATGGTCTCTGATAAAGACTAAGTCAGGCACAGCGGCGTTGTAGTTGGCGTAAAATTCACGCACCAACTACACTACCGCGGCAGGCGGGTTGTGGCAAAACGCATGCCATTTGTGCCCTTCAATAACAATGTGGACAAAGTCTGGATACCCTAAGGTGCGGCCCCGCCTGTAAATAAACCCCTTCTCCATGTATAACGCTTGGGTGCTAGTGCATGTTGTGAATCTGTGGAACGCTTGTGGAGAGGCAAACCGCTCTATTTCTTGATTCTCAGGTTCAGAGTTTGTTTCAGAGCTGTCCAGTTCATCCCTCACAGGCGCAGCCTTCCCCTTTCTTGGTTTGCTTTTGAACGGCATTCTGAAGTACTAGCAAGAAAACCGAACAATGACCACCCAACTTCTTGATTACCCGTGTGCTAATTGCCCCCCCCCAGGATGCAAGAATTACTCATCAAAGTCGATCCGGAAAAGATCCAACTAGTCTTACACGTCCATTGAGCCATTGCATGGCATTCCGTGTTACACACCCAAGGAGAAGTTCTAGGAGGATTAGGCACATTCCAGCAACTTCCAAGAACTTAGGCGGCTAGGCGCACATTCCAGCAAGGGATCAAGACAAATTTAAGTTTTAAACATTTAAATTCCATGTTATGCGATTTAAGGAAGGAATTGGAGTCAAATTTGGATTCCTTTCCTAAGATAAGTTTTGCTAGGCGTTTTAAAAGGAACGAATTAGACTCAAATTCGAAGTCCTTCCCTAGGAGTTATCTTTAGGCGGATTTTATCTTGTTTTTAGGGTTTATCTTATTTTAGGCTTCTATCTCATTAAGGATAGAATATGACTTTTATGATCTTTAAATTCGTCATGTTATTTTCAGCTATTTAAGGCTGAAATTCGGAATTAATGAAGTTTTGATGTTTATTCACTTTGTGAGATATTCTTCTTAGTTCTTGAAGAACTATTCTGAACTTATCAAGGTTTTCCTTGTGGCGTTCACCGTTGACTTATCAAACGGCATTTCCATACTCGTTTGCGGCGTCTTCACCATACCAAGGTTCTTGCTTTGCTAAGCAACGGGTCGCGGTTTCCATCAATTCTTGAAGATCTTGGATCGTATCCCATATTTGGCTACGGGTTTCGTCACATTGTTGGCAGGGTTCGTATCACCCCTCTGTTGCAGCAATCTGGGAACAGCTAGCATGTGGATGACATCAGCGCACTACTTGGAGGAAACAGACAAAAATCCATGTGAGCTGGTTGAGCAGGTGTCATTGTGGACCACTGCATCCATCATCAAGTGACACCTCAGACTCCTTTTGTTGCCCTAGAAGGAATTGTTTTCCAAGTGAGGCAAGCGGCCGCCAAGTACACAAGGAAAGAGAGAGAGAAGAATAGTACACAGTACCTCCTCTAGAATTAGACAGTACAGAGAGACGTGAAAGAAGAAAAAAAGGCAGAAGGCATAAATGAGATGTGTAGGAAGGGGAAAAAAACTATAGAAACTAAGGAAACGGTAACAATTGGTTAACTTTTGGGGTTGCAGTACTTTTCTTGGGTTTATTTTAACATCAGGTCTTATTTTCTTATTTTTAAGGCTTCCAGCATTATTAAGGCTGAATTGTGGGCAACGGAACTCACTTTTGGTTGCGCCTCCTTGATGGGTTGGTCCAATTTTTGGGTGGAGTTTGGTGCAAAGTTGGCTGTCAGTGCCTTACGCTTTGCAACACTACCTACTTTATGGTCTGATCACGGCCCCTTCAATCTTGTTAAAGATAGTCTTAAAGATTTTAACTTGTCTTCCTTGTCCCGGGTTAGTAGAACCCACATACTGCTCGCTGGGCCTTAGGCACTGGTTATGTTGGTTTTTTCAGCTTAGGGGCAGTGGCAACTATCTTTTATGGGGAATTCCAACAAATCTGAGGTTTTTATTGAGTGAAGAAAAAATGGTCTTACTTTTGAAGGAACAGAGTCAGGTTGACAAAAACAGAATAGATCCCTAAAAGCATAATTGCATTGAATGTATCTACGAAGTAAAGTAGTAAATGGTGATCCGATTCCTGACTGGGCATTTTGTCTCCTGAATCTCCAGGACAAAATATGGAATCAGCCAAAAAACATGCAAGGACTTGCATCATTCTTCATTCCATTCAGATTAAACATCAGCAGATATGGAATAGTCATACATCAACATGCTCAACAAATCTAGAGTCGATAGATCAAAAAGTGAAGATAACTACTTGCATCAAATCATAAGACTGGCTTGTAAAATGCACAATAAGACCATCTTCAATGCAAATGCTAATGTCAATTGTATATTTAACGGCAAAAAGTGTGATAATGGCATATTTGATATGTTATTTTCATGCATAATGTTATTTCAAATGTTAATCTACTTTTTGCCATAATCATTAAGTTTTAGAAGTTGTAAAAGTTAACTTTAATTTTAAAATAATTTGATAATGCAAATGTTGCTGAGTAAATGAAAAAGTAAACATATCAACCAATAGCAATCAAATGTCAAATTTAACATATATTATACTTGAGGTATTTACCAAGTAAAGCATATGAAAAATTTGACACAAGGAAAATACTCAAATACTAAAATTTAGCATTGGCACACCAATTTAGCATTGCATTAGAGAGGCTTATGTTAAGCACCATCTAGACCTGGACTTGTTCGAAGATGTGACACTGCAAATAATATTACCTTCTGATGATCTTTATTCATCGCTTCCCAAATCATCCTTTTGTAGCGTGCTTCCTTCTTGTTGTTAAGGTACTTACACACCTATAAAACAGAGAGTGTTTTCTCCAAGTGATAAACTCACAGAAGAAAAAAAAAACCATTTTGATCTAACATAAGTTAAATTCCTCAATTGATTAATTATAAAGGATCAAGAAATATCAAGCGCAATTGCGTAAATACCTCAGCATCATCGATATCAGAGAAGCTCTCTGATTCATCATCTTCGTTATAAACACCTGAAATCATATAACTTTCAATCCAAACTCTTTCGAAGATCTGTAAAACCAGAAACAAAATTGAAACGAATGATAATTGTTTTTTTGCTTTTTTTTTAAGACCAGAGCTTGTGCGTTCCTTTACCAGACTTCAACTTCTGAATTTTCTGAGAATGTATTGTCGATACGGGTTCGATTTTGGACGAACACGATAATGTTTTGAAACAAGGTTTGGCTGCTTCTGATTTCCTCTCCATCTGAGAGAATCGCTAGTGCAGCGACGCCTGTTTGACTGACGATGTTTATTTATTTTGAAGCGTGCGCTGATCTTTAAATACAAATTCTGATCCGAATATTGATTTCCCCGACCCGTAATGGTAATGATGTTTTAAATGCTATAAAAATATAAAGGGGTTGTTTTTTAGAGTGTAATTTTTAAATTATAATTTGAGTTAAAATTATAATTTAAATAAAATTGAGTAAAATTAAAACTTAAAAGAACATGAATTTGAATAAAATTGAAACTCGAGTTGTCTTTTTTTAAAATTTTTTAGATAAAAGAACAACCCAAAATTATTTTGGGATTTTGAATCAGTTGATGTGAAATATGCTATTAACTTCTGAGCAACTTTTACGGTGGTAGAACTCTTAAAAAAATTTATGAATGTAACTTCATTTTTAATTGTTAGAATTAATTTTTTAACAGTTAAATTTATAAAAGTATATTAAAAATTTATAACATGTTATATAAAATTATTCATATTGTAAATCTAATTGTTAAAAAATCAATCAAACAGTTAAAAGTTAAGATTCTACGGTGGAGTTTTTTTAGAGTCTCATAATAAAGAATGCCTAAATTCTATGCCTTTAAATTTCTACTATTAATTTTTAGGAATTTTTTTCGATAAGTCGACTTATTAATAGGACCAATTTTTTAATCTGACTAAAACCACATTAAATTGAAAAAATATAAAGAATAGATAATTTTTTATATAAATTTAACAATTAAAAAATAAAAACCTATTAATAGTTCTTTTTTTCAGTCCTACAAAAGAAACTCGCTAATTTTTATGGTCTCCTACAAATATGTTATTTACTTCATTCTCTCTATTTTTTTAATCTAATCATTAAAGGCTTGTACGGCAAGGCTTACTAAAATTGGATTTTAAGGCCTCGTTCACTTCGTAGATTCGAGTTTTCAATTTGAGTTGAAATGTGACATTTTCTGAAAGTTTTTACTGTAGAATAAAAAGTTAGATGTGATATTTTCTGATAACTTTTTACTGTAAAAATTTAAAACTAAAAACTCGAATCCGTAAAATAAACGAGGCCTAACTTTCTAGGTTTAAAAGGTACTTTTAGAAGTTTAAGAGTTTGTTCTTTTGAAGTGTGACTTGAGTATAGTTTTTGAGTTGAATTTGAGTTATAACTTGAGTTTAAAGTTGTAACTTAAATAAAGTTGAATAAAGTTGAATAAAATTGAAACTTAAAAGAACGTGAACTTGAATAAAGTTATAACTTAAGTTTAAACTTTTTCTAAATTTTGTTGTAAAAGAACACACCCTAAATTATCTGTCAGAATGGCTCTGGGTTTTTTTAGAAAAGCATTCAGCCAAAGCAAAAAAAAAAAAAAAGAGAGAGAGAGAGAGAGAGAAAAAAAGAGAAGAAGAAATAGCCTTCTAACATGAGCACTTCGAAATAGATTTTCCAATTTGTATCGTAGTTTTATTAAACATTATCAACTTTATTCAAACATTTTTAACATTATCAACTTTATTCAAACATTTTTAACATTATCAACTTTATTCAAACATTTATATCGCATATTAAAAATTTAAAAGTTGTTTTGAAATTGAGCCTTTTAAAATGCGGTTTAAATACTTATTGAAAAGTAAAAGTTTTTGTTTCTTTTTTTGCACACTGTAAATAAAAATTCTGCCAAACGAACTTTTAAGTTTTGGAAGTGGTAAAATATAACTTTCTTTAATTCTAAAATAATTTAAAAATATTAATGTTATAATGAATAAATAAAAAGGTGATTGCATCAAACACTAGCAATCAGAGAAATACTAGCATAAAAAACTAGCAATCAGAGAAATACTAGCATAATTTTTTATGTCATTCTTTTTGTCACTTTCTTCATTCATTGTTTTACGCGTTGATTCTATCATCTCATTTTCTATTTAAATAATAATATATTATGTTAATATAGTCTACGTGTCAAACAATAAATGCAGAAAGTGACAAAATTGAGTGACACTAACTTCTTTTATCAAAAGCCTTTTAAATAAAGGAACCAATTATTAATCAAATTTCTCTATGAGATGTGGGACTCAATTAGTTAAGCCCTTTGGTTATTAAAAATTTAACAAGAAAATGAAAGAAAAAAGAGGACACAAAACAGGGGATGTTTATTTCCTGTATTCGTCTATGATTCTGAATCATGATTCATGGTTCTTTACAGAGTTTTTCTCTCACAAAAAATACACGTAAAACAAAAATGGTTCTGAATCATGATTCTGAATCCATGAACTAAACGTCCACTTAACGTGGTTCCCCAGTGAATCAGATTTTGAAATTTTGACTTTTTATACTTTTTCATTACCAATTTAACACAATTATCAATAAGATGGATCACATTGCAAAAATTTAGCATGTTTGGGGAGGAAGATAAACTATCAAAATTATAAGTTTATGAAGAAGTTGCCAAATCCTGAAAAGTATAAGTAGTAAGTTGATAAATATCTCAGTCAGTTATTACTTATACTTGCATCCTTTCTTTTTTATTTTTTTAATAAAGTTTCAAGAAATTCTAAAGATCTCTTTTGAGTGATTTTATTAGCTTTTCCAATCTTTATTTTGTTTTCTTTCCTACCATAGAACATCTTATTATTAAAACTATAAGTAACAAAACCCAAATTTTATAAGAATTATTAACAAAAATGAAAGCAACAAAAACCTCAACATAATATAAGTTCTTGTTAAGAATGACAACCATGTAATATAAGAATAGGATAGTAAAATAGTAAAAAGTACAAATAATGAAATGAAATTAAGAACAAATAATAATGGAAAAGAAGAGAACTAGGCCATATTAAGATAAGATTAAAAATTATACTAAGAGTTAAAGTAGTTAATAGGCCAATTTAATGTAAATTTGGATTAACACCTAATTAAATTTCCTAAAGTACCCTAATTAAATACAACATACTCATACTTTACTTTCTTCATCATACTCCCAAAAAAACACTAGCTCCCATTCTCTGGTAGGACCAGAATTAATAAAGGCTTTCTCTACGGTGAGACTCTCTAAAAAACCCACCGGTGGAATACCCTATTTTGACCGTTGAGATTACCTTTTCAACAATAAAATATGTAGAGGGAGAAGTTCTATGCAACACGCTGTAATTTTTAATACGGACATGTGTAGATCTGACTGTTAAAAACTTAATCCAACGGTTAAAATAGAGTGTCCTATCGGTGGTTTTTTTAAGGGGTCTCACAATAGAGGTTCGCAAAAATAAAATACATGGTAGTTTTTTTTCAGCAGTTAGATATGTATTAAAATTGTCTGTTATGCATATTTTTTAATATGATGTTATTTTAACCAGATCAACAGTAAAAAATTGTCCTTACCGGTAAGGAGGCCCACAGAAAAATTAATGTTTAAAAAAAAATTTTAGAAAAGAAAACTAATTAATATGTTCAATATGCCGTGGTGTAAAGTTTATGGTCCTAATACTAAGGGGCCTTAACTTTGAACTTAATGGGGGCCTTAGGCAGGTTTTTTCTTAAAAAAAATAAAATTAATTAATAAATTAATTAATTAAAAAGAAAATGAAAGAAAATTCAAAACTGATTTGACTACTAACTAGTATTTCACAGACACGTGAGAAATGTGTATAGTTCAAACACCAGAATTAGAGAAATTAACATGTGTATTAGCTGGGTATCAGGCATATAATTCAACATAAAAACGAACTTCTGCATTAATTAGTGATGAAAATAAGTTTTAACACAATAATTACATATAAATTGCCAACAAATACGGAAATTGATCTCCTAATATTCATCGGGCCGGACTCGGTACTAAATCCAACAAAATAAGAGTAAAACCATGAAGAAATTTTTCATGCAAAAGAGAGAGAGAGAGAGAGAGAGAGAGAGAGTTATGCTTGGCTCCTCGCACGCTACCAGCACAAACCAATGAATAGGGGAAGATGATTGGTTGATGCGCTTGTGGCATACAGGGAGCCAGGCATAACATATTCATGTAAATTTCACCTTCAAACATCGACTAAATATACAACCTTGCTTTATCTTCTTTCTTCAAGAGCTGCCCCCAAGTCCAATCAATCCAAAATGCCTTCGTCAGAAAAGAGAGAGGAGGATTATAGGTGATATATATACACACACATATTATATGTATTTTATACATGTATTTCATATACAACGGTGACCAGAGGAGATCAATTGCAAGACGTGTATATATATATATATATAGAGATCTAGAGAGAGAGAGAGAGAGAGAGAGATTGAGAGAATTTTCTTAGTTCATGCATGTAAGGAAATTCCATGACGCACATTCCTTTTAGAAATGAGAAATCCAAGATTTGCGCTTTATGAATATTTCAAATCTGGAAAGAGAATTATAGAATGATAATTGTGCCACTAATTGGTCACCAACACAGATATCATCCACAAACCAACCACCAATTACCTTTTTAGTCAGCTTCGCTCTCTATCCTTCCAACAGTGTAACGTTGAATGCGAAAATATTCCACCTTTGACTTTTTGTCAAAACTCATGTGTTTTGTTAACAACAAATTATTGGATTACGTACTGCCATAAATATCATACACAACGTATCTTGCTATATAAAATTTGCGAAATAATCAAAATACGCAGTTAATTACAACTTAAATACGTCATTTTTTTAACTTCGGAGTGAGGATCATTTGAACTCTCTACAGTCTTATAATAGAGTTATGTGTTAAATTACTATTAAATTATGTCTACAATCACAATACTAAGCCATTAAGGTCATGTTCATTTCACCGATTCGAGTTTAAATTTTAAGTTTTGCTACAGTAAAAAACTCTCAGAAACAGTCACATATAACTTTTTTACTACAGTAAAAAGCTCTCACATAAAATCATATCTCAACTCGAATTAAAAACTCGAATCAGCGAACTAAACAGGCCCTAAGACTACTAATTTCTTTCAAAGTTAGCGTGTTGGGTTTTTATTTTTTGTTATTTTTATTTTTATTTTTTTCCTGCTT